GTGTTCGGACCTTACGTCCATACAAAGCCTCGAATGGGGCCATCTTGATCGAGGAGTGGTAACTATTGTTGTAAGTCAGCTCAACCAAAGGCAAGGCACTCTCCCAAGTCAAGCTACGGTCCAAGACCACAGCCCTCAATATGTCCTCCAAGTACTGGATCGTCCGCTCCAACTGACCATCCGTCTGAGGATGAAAAGCTGTACTGAACTCCAGCCTCGTCCCCATGGCCCGGTGTAGAGTTCTCCAGAACTGACTAGTGAACTTCGTTTCTCGATCGGACATGATCTCAATAGAGACCCCATGAAGTTTGACAATATTGTCCACGAACAACTCGGCATATTGACTAGCCGTCATAGTCGTCCAGACTGGCAGAAAGTGAGCAGACTTGGTAAGGCGATCCACAATCACCCAAATGGAATCATGCCCGGCCCTCGACCTCGGCGATCCCACCAAGAAATCCATGGTGATGCACTCTCACTTCCACAAGGGGACCTCAAGTGGCTGCAACTTCCCTCTCGGTTTCTGATGCTCAGCCTTCACTCGCTGACACACCAGGCACCCATTTACGAACCTCGCCACTTGATTGTTCATGCCTCGCCACCAAAACAACTTCCTCAAGTCCTGATACATCTTCGAGCTACCAGGATGGATGGTGTACGGGGCACTATGAGCCTCTCTCAAGATCTCCTTTCGCAGCTCCCACACCTTCGGAAAACATAGTCTACCCTCGAAGACTAATGCTCCATCAGATGCAACTGCGAATCCTCCGACTCTACCGGCTTCCAACAACTCCTTCATCCGGCGAAGGAAGCGATCATTCGGTTGCTGGGCGACTATCCTCTCACGAAGGGTCGGTCCTACAACCAAAGTAGTCAACACACCCCTGGCTGTCGAAAGTGGTTCCACTACCTCAAGCTGTAGCCGCTCGAACTCCCGAAGAAGGACATCTTGCTCAGTGAATAGACAAGACAACCGGCCATAACTCCTTCGACTAAGGGCATCGGCTACCACGTTAGCTTTCCCAGAATGGTAGCTAATCGTGCAATCGTAGTCCTTGACCAGTTCCAACCACCTACGCTGTCGCCTATTCAGCTCCCTCTGAGTGAAAATTTACTTTAGGCTCTTGTGGTCGGTGAAAATCTCACACTTGCCTCCATAGAGGTAGTGCCGCCAAATCTTCAAGGCGTGGACGACTGCAGCTAACTCTAGATCATGAGTGGGGTAGTTCTTCTCGTGAGGCTTCAGCTGCCTCGAAGCATACGCTACGACTCTCCCCTGCTGCATAAGAACACATCCCAAACCCATCATCGAAGCATCACTATAGATGGTGAACTCCAAAGTAGGGTCGGGAATGGATAGAACGGGCGCGGTAGTGAGTCTCCTCTTCAACTCCTGGATATTCTCCTCACACCTAGGACTCCAATCGAACCTCACGGCCTTCTTCGTAAGGTTGGTTAGTGGCTGGGCTATCTTCGAGAAGCCCTCGATAAACCTCCGGTAGTATCCTGCTAACCCCAGGAAACTACGAACATCAGCTGCACTCCTTGGCATATCCCATTTACTCACTGCCTCAATCTTGTTGGGATCCACCTCAATGCCTCTCGATGTCACAATGTGGCCAAGGAATGCCACACGATCCAGCCAAAACTCGCACTTCAAGAACTTAGCATACAGCTTCTCGCGACGAAGGGTCTCCAGCACAATCCTCAGATGCTCCTTGTGCTGGTCGATGTCTCGGGAATAAACCAGGATGTCGTCGATAAACACAATGACAAACTGGTCTAAGAAAGGATGAAAGACCCTATTCATAAGGCCCATAAACACGGCCGGGGCATTGCTAAGTCCAAATGGCATAACCACGAACTCATAATGGCCATATCGGGTACGGAAGGCAGTCTTAGAAATATCAGACTCACGGATCTTCAGCTGATGATAGCCAGAACGCAAGTCAATCTTCGAAAAGACGCTGGCTCCCCTCAGCTGGTCAAAAAGGTCCTCGATGCGAGGAAGGGGATACTTGTTCTTGACTGTAAGGCCATTCAACTCCCGATAGTCAATGCACATGCGCATCGATCCGTCTTTCTTCTTCACGAATAGGACGGGCGCTCCCCATGGAGAAACACTCGGACGAATGAAACCAAGATTGAGCAACTCCTGGATCTGGGCCTTGAGCTCTTGAAGCTCCTTTGGCGCCATATGGTAAGGGGCCTTAGAAACAGGGCCGGCTCCTGGTACTAGATCAATGGTAAACTCCACTTGACGGTCGGGCGGTCCTTCGGGCAACTCATCAGGAAAGACGTCGAGATACTCGCAGACGATAGAGACACTCTCCGGGGACCTCTCAGAGTCGTCCTCAGATATCATAGAAACCAGATAGCCTTGACAGCTACCCTTAGAAAGGCTCTTCCTAGCTTGCATCGAAGAGATGACTCGAGGCACAGTCCTCGACTTCACCCCATAGAAAATAACAGGCTAATCGAAAATGGGGAATAGAGTGACTTCACGCTCCTGGCACCGGATGTCGGCTCGATAGCGAGTGAGCCAGTCAATGCCCAAGATTACATCGAAGTCCTGCATTTCAATAACATAGCATTCGTCCTCTAATATATGCCCACCAATACTGACGGGAAGACTGGGAATCAAAGAGTTGGAGATAATAGTCTTTCCTGAGGCTAGACTAACATCGAGAGGATCACAGTTGCACACATTGCTAATAGAAAGTGCCTCAAGGCATCGAGACGAGATAAAGGAATGAGTAGCCCCAGTGTCGCATAATGCAAAGATAGGCACATCGAATAAGGAAATCATGTCGGACATAGTACCTGAATTGTTGGCTGCCTCGTCATGAGCAATGGTATAGACTCGAGCCTGGCCTCCTGCACGCTGCTGGTGTGGGGGTGGGGGTTGTCTGGGCTGCTGTTGTGGGTAAGGTGGAGGAGGAAGCTGCTGCTGCTGCTGCTGGGCCTGCTGTCTCGGGGGTTCGGGGCAAGCACTGAAGAAGTGGCCGGGCTTCATGCAGTTGAAGCAAACTCGCTGAGTGAAACGGCATTCTCCCGGATGATATCGACCACACTTAGGGCACTTCAGATTCTGATCATAAGATGCAGGGCGCCCGCCACGACGGTCATTCCCGCCACGCTTTCCCTTCCGGTTATCACGGCGGGAATCAAACTTTCTCTTACCCGAACTAGAGCCGGGCGGTGCAGAAGCAATGGGCTGGACTAGCTGAGCAGAAGGGACAGAAGTATCGAGAGTTTGATAACTCTCCAGTTGGGTGGCTCGGATAACAGTCTCATCAAAGGAAAGATTTCCCTGGCTAGCAACATGCATACGAAGAGTTTGACTCAGCCCATCTCGAAACTTGTGAGCCTTCTTCAGGTCAGTGTCCACCATATGTGGAGCAAAGGCGCTCATGCGGGTGAACTCCCGCTCGTACTCCTCAACGGTACCAGTCCCCTGGGTAAGATCCCAGAAAGCGCGCTCCATCCTCATGCGATAACCCTGAGGATAATACTTCTCCATGATCACCTCCTTCATGCGATCCCAAGTCAAGACATTAAACTCCGCCTGCCTCAACCTCCAATAGCCGGACCACCACAAAGCGGCACTTCCCTTAAGCATATAGCGGCCACAAATAACCTTCTGCTCGTCAGAGCACTGCAGGAGGTCAAAGTTCTGCTCTAACTGACGGATCCACTCCGCCACAGCCTCGGGCCCTTCAGTCCCATGAAATTCTGGCGGAGTTAGACTCCGGAATTGGAGCACGATTTTGAGATGAGCCCCTGCTGGATTGGGAGCCTGCTGGTGAGGGGGAGATGTGGATGGAGACGAAGGTGGAGATGGAGTAGGCTGACGGTTGCGAGAATTACGACGAACCATAATTCAACATTGAAAATGGGTCATATAGTTAGCACAATAATAAAAGAAGTCTAGAGTTCAACACTATAGTTCTCATTTAAAGGTGGATTAGTCCTAACCCCGATTTTATTCCAATAATCAATAATCAAACAATATGCAATAATCTCATAGTCATTCAGGTACACATACCTGAGCTGGCGCGGCACGACGAGAGCGAGTGGTCATAACTTAAGGTCAATTCACATAATCAAATAATTCACATTAACCAGTCTACAGAAACGCAAACTGGCACTGATACCAAACTGTAACGCCCCACTTTTATTTGCAAAAATTCAGGATAAATTTTTCAAATTTAATTCTAAACAATATCAATATTTGAGGCGCCACTCATTTTCAAACATTTATAAATACTAAACACATCCTCAATACTCAACAATATTCAATACTCATAATCCATATAAGAACCTCAATACTTAATCATGATCCAATAATAATATTCCAAGGGAAATAACCCCTATCAATAATCAATAATTCAGTACTAACGAAAAGCAATAATCAATAACAACGCAATAATATCCAAGTTCAGTTCAAAGCGGAAACATTTATTCAAATTAAAGACCACCACTCGCATCTCCTCTGCCGTGTCGCGTGAACTAACCTGCATCCATGAAGAGCAGGTGGGGATGAGCACAATAGGAAAGTCGAGGTGCTCACCGCTATGCAATAATTAATATCAATAACTATAAAACAATTTAAGTATGGTCGCAACATGTATACGAATCAATAATCGTCCCATCTCCTATCAATAATCAATAATGGTCTCATGTGCACACCTATAACAATAGACTACTGCCGAGCTATATACCGAACACCTTCCTTGAAGGCCTTACAACGAGTGCCCGGGCAGCAGGAGCAATAATCCACCCCGAATGCCAAAACTCACGCCTTGGCCTTACATACGAGGATCACCAGCCAAGGCTCACGCCCTGACTGCCAACAATAATAAAGGAGACTACCCGAAGGTACGTTCTATAGCTACGGGGATAACCGTTCGACGGCCAATATAGCTCACGTCGAAGGCTACATGGTTCACATGCATACTTTGATCATACCACACCAAAAGCAATTAATTAAAGCATAGCAAATTTTACAATTACAACCCACCTGGTATCGGTTGATAAAGCAATTAGTCAGAAGGTCGTAGGTGGTTGAGACACTTCTCTTCAGACACCTACATAAGTCAAGACAGTCCCATAAGCAACTATCTCGACTCCTGCACAGATAACGAGAATTATGCTTAGTCGAATAACATCGACTAAGGAACTCGTGGAAGTTGTGGAGTTGGAATATTAGGACGACTCCTAGACTCGACCAATTAATTACCAAATCAATTAATAGATCACATAAAAGCAGGCAATAAATGTTCGACACATAACGGGTCAAAACGGTTAAAAAGGCTAGTCCGAATTTTATAAGAATAGGGCTAAGGGGAGTTGGACTTGGTTATTTCAATTCAAATTTCTACAGAGTGTTAAGGGCTGAAAAATACATATTTTCACCAAAGGAAAACCATTTAACATGCTCCTAGCTATTTTAAATAATTTACTCAAAATCTGACCAGAAATCAAATTAAATCATTTAAAATAGCTACTGCTCAAATTTAAATTTCAAATTTTTACAGCAGCAAGATAATCTGGAGAAAAACAACATATTCACAAATTAGCAAAATCTGACAGAAACTCAATTTTTATATGAATTTATTACGAAACAGCCCAGAATTAGTTTTCAAGTTTTGACAAGGCAACAGGCTATATAAAATTCTCAAATTTTAACCACAAGTACTACAATTGCAACATTACAACATATCCAAAAATCAGAATTTTTGGATAAACACACGATTTATAGTGATTTTAACAAAAACCGGTTGCAGCACGTTTTTCAAAAATTCATAACTAATTCAATACACATCGAAACGACGCGAGGCCAAAGGCGTTGCGTCAAGGACAATCCTAAGTCCAATAATCCACAGCAATTCCTCATTACATATTACTCGGAACTCAGTTCGATAATTTTTTCAAAGTGATGACAATCACTTTGATACCCAATATTAACAATATATCCTAATTACACACGAAAGCATTCCGAACGCACGTAATTAATTTGAATATCATATGATCAGCAACGTAACACACATACGAGTACTACCACATAAACACGAACTAGATAATTAAGTCGAGGGGTTAACTCAGGTACCGTTCTCGGGACGGGGCTACGAAGAACGAACAACGGAATAACAAACGAACTCGACGTCTCAACGTGTCTCGCCGGGACAAGAGTGCAGCAACCGAAGGGCTCGAGGAAGGCTGCTGGTCGCCGGAGTGGGTCGACGGGATGTACGGCGGCGCACGGTTGCTGCGTTTTGGAAAGAACGCGGGTGAAGGTGGCGACAATGGCGGCTCGGCGTCCGGAACTCGTCGGCTTCGTTTAACGCTCTGACGGAACCCGACGGAACTCGACGATCACGATAGGCTCTTCGACGGAACTCGACGGGTCCCGAAAGCCGAAGTTGAACGTTGACGGAGGAGGTTGCCTGTGGAGCTTCGTGAGTAGAGATGGCAGCCAAGCGATGGTCGCTGGGATGTCGCGGTTAACGCGCAGCAGAGAGAAGGTCGATGGAGACCTGTAGTGGTGCTCGACGAACAGCAGGGCGTGATGGCGGTGGTTCGCGGAGGAGCACGGCGGCGATGATGGCTGACAGAGGTGGTGATGGTCTGCTGCAAGTATGAACGATGATGGCGATGGGAGTTCGATGATGGTGATAAGCCGCGGGACAGTGACGATGGTTGATGATAGGATGATGATCGATGATAGAAGATGGTTGATGATGGTGGCGAGAGAGAGAGCAGAGATTGAGGGTGTGGCTGCGAAATTGCTGAAGGTGCGTATATATATATACATATATACATATATATATATATATATACCTTAGATAATTAGGTTTTATTTTCTTGTTTTGCAAGAAAATTCCACACGCACACACATGCACGTGAGGGAGGAAAACCGGACCGGGTCAAAAATTCGGTTCATCGGGTCGAAAGCTCGGTTCTAACGCGGCTTCAAGAAATTAGATCGGTTTCTCGGGATCGGTTAAAATCGCACGATTAATAAATTAAAGTAAAACCGGACAAAAATATATATATATATATATATATACATATATATATATATATAACACATAATTTATTTAATTATAATATAACAATTAGACAATTAATATTAGAAATAGTAATATTACTAATAACAACAAATAATAGCAATTTGGCATTTAATAATAATAATAATAATAATAATAATAATAATAATAATAATAATAATAATAATAATAAATAAGGAAATTAATAATAACAATAATCAATATTTATTTCCAATTAATTCACGATAAAACGGGGTATTACATGGAGTGACTCATGGTGCAACAAGAGAAAAGGAGAAAACACCATAGCCAGTTTTTGGATCTAAAACAAGAAATGCAAGAAAACAGAAATCAATGGGGCGCAACTTTCATTTTCACGTACACGATGTTCAATAGGTTTTACATGAGCTGAGAGAAGAATATTTATACACACATCTAAGGAGGATCATGTGGACAAGTGTCCTTAATTTGAAATCAATCCTACGGTTCTAATGAATCCACACTGGGAGTTTGGTTTCTTTCTGCAGCTTTAACTTTGGTAGCTTTTCTTTGTCTGCATGTCCATGCTGGCTCATTGCTTGGTACATGATTGACGTGCTTTTTCCTTGACTTAGTCTCCTGTTGCATTTCTTCAGCATTTCTAACACTCTATATCTATTTATAGTAATATAAAGAGGTTGTTGGAAAAATACAAAATAATAACTTTGACTTAAAAAAATAATTGTTTACTTATTAATTTAAGCAATAACAATAGGCCCCACATGTCAACAAATTTAATCAGATGTTGGTAACAAATTTGATCGAATTTAGATAACAAATTTCGGGTATTGATAAAAAAAATTGATCTTATTTTGATAACAAAACTCAGATTTTGTTAATAGATTTGATATGATTGTGATAACAAATCTCGGATTTTGATGACATTTTATTTAGAATATCGGTTTTATTGGTAACACACTTCATAGTTATTTGCAAACAATATATTGTCGATAATCTTTCGGATTTTGTTTGGTAACAAATTTTAATTTTTTTTCGGATTATTTGGAGTTAAATATTGCAGAAAAAATCTAGACATTTTATAATAGATACATATCAAAATAAAAATAAAATTTTTCAATCATTCCAAAATGCCTTAC